TAGGCTGTCTTCTAATCCGTCGGAAAAAAAAGTACCTCAATTACCTTTCACGGCAGCACCGTCCAACATCAGAACTGCAAAGTTGAATCTAGCACTCTTGCTTATTCTATCCATTGCACTGCACACGAATTCGTATTCCCCTATCAACAATCAAGAAGTGCCATGGGCAATCGCAATATGTTAGCACCACAGTTGAATGGCAGTGCAAGCAATCAGGTTCAAGGAATAAGAGTGAGAACGTGTGAAGTAAGCAATAAAGCGAGACACCCACCTACCTTGAGGTAGACTGATTGTTTTGAGAGCAAATATATACTGCTCCAGCATTTCTACATCAAGCTTGATGTCGAGAGCTAGAAGTTAGAGGGGAGAAAAGCTTGTGGATTGACAGGTGGTACAATTATGCCGTTCTTCATGGCTTACCTGACTTTAATTTGTTTGGATCGGTGCCTTTAAGTCCTTGTATGAGTTCGATGCGCTTCTTTTCAACCTCCTCTTTACAAAAAGCCAAGAAAAAAGGGATGAGATAATGCAATTTCGTCATCTTCTTTCGGTAACTAAGATTGTTAATATCTAGTGGCTTACAAGTGGGAACGCTTCAAGCTTAACAAAGTGAAATGCAAATCTTTTGGCCCTATCAAAAGCTTGACACCCAAACTCCTCGTGTCACTTAAGCAAATCAACCTAATTTCAAGGAAAGCCGATTATGGACACGAAAAGTGGAATGTTGTGGGAGTTTAGGATGCTGTTTGCTGTTGAGGAATGATGATCTTGATAAAACTGACAAGCAGAAACTCACTCCAGCCCAACGATTCCCATTACGGATGCAGTAACGTATAAACACTGAGGATGGATGTCATCGCTCCTGTCTTGATGTTTCTAGAAGTCTGTGGTATCATCATCACCGTCTATTCCTACTTTCTGAGCATTCAATGCCAAAGAGAAGTGTTTTGAGTTTCCTACCCCCCTTTAATAACGATGTCAAGGTCATTCGATACCACATGGTTATGGGAGAAGGGCACCCATCATGACACCAAGGAGACATCCGTCCTGAGGTCCCTTTTGGACGACGCTCAGTACCCACAAATGCACGCCAAGTCATACTAGAAAACTTTGATAGCTTGACAAGTGGTAATTTTGATCCTCACATTCAGTACTGCAGACTCTCGATGCCCTAGCAGTTGAGCTTTTAAGTGCGATGCACCAATAGAATATGACATCCACCTTTTTGTAGTGCAGTGTGCTACTTGAAAAACGGGATTTGTGACTGATGAGAGCAAACCTCTCCGGACTGCCCAATTCGAGACAGGATGGACAAAGGAAGCCCAACTGTCCACACTTCAATCCCTTTTCTACCTTTGCTTGTGGAAAAGCTAAAGACAACTTTATCATTACAATGCACATACCTGTGCTTAAGAGGAGAGCCTCTTTGTTGGCAACGTGGGCTTTTTCCTGTTGATAAAAATTTCAAATAAGCAGCGCTTGTCATCAGTTTGTGGATATTTAAACAATAGGAAATTTGCCTATAACCTCTCATTACGGCTCTGACGTCAACAATGAGAAGCATCGAGACAATCTTGACTTAAAACAGAAGGGGATCGACGCATTGTCTCAGAAAGGGAAGTGAAACTCACCTTAATTCCATTGTTTGGATCACTTTGGATATCACCATTGACTTGGA